AAAAAAAAACCATCTGGTTTAGCAAACACATACCTCAAAACCCCAAAGCTACCCACTATAGGGTGTCATGGCAATATTGATGTTTTGTTAAGCATGCACAGAGTAGACTGTAGTAGGAATTTTCCCGGTTGCTTAGAAACACAAGTGCAGGAGGCCAAATATGGACTATTACATGTAACAGCCAATGCAATGGAAACACCTGGCTCCCTTTGTAGTTAAGCTGACAATAAAAATGTTATTGTGTGCATGGTCCAGGTTTCGTTCTGTGTGCTTGAGCAAGACTCTTCAGACTCTTCATATAGACATTTTGGAGACTTTTAAACCATGTCCCCAATAGAGGAACAGTCCAGAATCCCATCACAGTGACTGAGAAGGGAGAAAGGTGCTCCTAATTTTAATTAGTAAATTAGTGAATACACTTTAAAGGTTGCTTGTACAGTCCTCGACCTATGAACACAACTGAGTCCAAAATTTATGTTGCTAAGTGAAACATTTGTTCAATGAATTTTGCCCCATTTTACAACCTTTCTTGCCAGGGAGGTTAAGAGAATCACTGCAGCTGTTTACATTAATAACATGGTTGTTAAATGAATTTGGTTTCCCCATTGACTTTGCTTGTCAGAAGGTCACAAGAGGAGATCATGTGACCTCAGGACACTGTAACCGTCATAAATGAGTCAGTTGCCAAGCATCTGAATTTGGATCACACGACCATGGAAATGCTGCAATGGTCGTAAGTATGAAAAACAGTCACAAGTTACTTTTTTCAGTGCCATTGTAATTTTGAACTGTCACTAAATGAACTGTTGTAAGTTGAGGGCTACCTGTACCACTTGCACCTTGTGCATTATTTGGCATGTGTGAAGCCAGTAAACCTTTATGAGTACTCGCACTTGCAAAGTGAAGCTGGAGTACCTGTCCAGAATAGGCACCTGTGGTAGGACAGGCCGTACTATTATCATAAATCTCAACCTACAACAGGTGTGATTGTAAACATCATTCACAGAACCCAGGCTATATGCCAATACAGGTGCACTTGATTTGCAGCAAAGTTTCACTCTGTAAAGAATTTCAAAATAATGTTTAAAGAGCCCCCTTTTTTGTGCCCTGGAGCCAACATGGAAATTTACATTATGCTCCCGTAATGATTTACATAGGATGGCCATCTCTCTCTCTCTCTCTCTCTTCTCTCTCTCTCTCTCTCTCTTCTCTCTCTCTCTCTTCTCTCTCTCTCTTCTCTCTCTCTCTTTCTCTCTCTCGTTTCTGCAAAAGGAATACAAAAATGCCCATTTATGTAGATGCTATAGTTAACCATAGATTAGCATTGTAAAGAAAACATGTTTTAACAGGACGTGAAAGTGTTGATCAGGGTTGCGATGATCAAAATTCCTATATTGAAAAAGCTGAAACAAAAAACATACGTCCTGCGCATGGGGGAAGGATGATAGGAAACAGAAAGGTTCTTAAAATAAAGCTTGCTCAAAATATTTATTGTTACAGTGAGGCAGAACATAAAGAAGGATATAAAAGATTGTTCTTTTGATAGTGAAATGTGTGTATTAAAGGAATGAAAAATGTCAGATCAGAGGTTCATCTGTCGGTCACTCACTCATATTTGTCAAGCAGGAAGCTTTGTACAGATAACCTTGCAACAAAACCACAAAACTACTGCTGGAAACTAGAAGCTGTGGAAATTCACCTTTGACATAGATTAGTGAGAGGGGAAGGTATTTCGTTACTGTAGCCTAGCAACAAGGGGGCTGTATTTCAAGTAACCAATGAAATGCTGACAAGTTATATTTCTGTGGTTTGCAGCTTCTGAATATGTGAGTGTAAAATCTATAGGAAGTTGTTCAGATGTTGCTTTCGCTAAATTGCTCTGAACCTTTGTGCAAATAAAACTATTTCTGATTCCAAGGTCTGAGTCTTGTAATTTCCTGCAACAACAGGATGCCGGCAGATATTTTAGTAACGTCTTTACTTTATCTACTTTCATACTGACAGCTGTGTTTCCTGTTTATGTAATCAAGTACAATATAAAAGCACATTAAAGAAATCATTCGGGCTCTTTCTCAGCCTTATAGGACAAGGGTGTCAAACTCATGTCATCACGACGGTGTCATGTGACATATCGTGACTGTTTTCCCCTTTGCTAAACTGGGCATCGGTGTGGCCAGCATCAGACGCATCCGGCCTGCAGGCTGTGAGTTTGACGGCCCTGTTATAGGAGTACCAACCTTTATCCATATCTCAACAAAACTCAGAGAATTTGACTCGGTCTCTTTGTTTGTGCTGAGTCAGACTCCTGATTAACAAAGGAAGGAAGGATTGTGCACCAGGAGAACATGAGATATTCATGCTGAAAAGTATTGTAATAGGAAAATGTATTCCATCCATATTGATAATCATCTTCATTTAACGACCCCATAATTCCTTTGTGGGGTGGAGTCTGGGCAACCAACCGAATGGAGCTAGCAGAGTGTTTTAATGGCTGGATGCCCTTCCTGTCACCAATGCAGAGTTTTGTTCAGCAGATATATTCTTATTGTGCCCAGAGAGAGAAATATCTGCCTTTACCTAGGATCAAACTCACAGCCTCCTGAATGAGGCGAGAATTCCACCTCTAGGCCAGCCGACCCACTCCCATTCCATTGTTGAAAGATGTCAAAATGCCTTTCTTCCAAGGATTCGATTTTCCCGCTGGGAGAGCTCCGGCGCAAGGATACGGACAACTGCTTGAAAGCTGGATCTTTTTATTTTTCAGGAAGGCGGTGGACAGCGTGAAGTCTGCATTCCTGGGCTAGCTGGCTTCTTATGGTAAGTCCCTGGTTTTTATATCCTTTTCTCCCTTTGTGAGTTGATTTCGTGTGAATGTTTGTATTTGTGCTTAATATTTCAAATCCTGTTTGAGTTTGTCTTTATTCCTGCCGGAGGGCAAACTCCGCGGGGTGCAGAAGGCAAACTCCGCAGGGTGGTTAGATTGTATTATCGGTTTTTTTCTAATCTCTTGTAGCTTTATAATAGTTTTTTTCATATTTGTTTTGTGGCAATCTCCTGTCTGTCTCTTTTGTAATTTATATTTTTTGTGTCTTTTGTCTGTTTGTTTTGCTTATTTGGTCTGTCCTGTGTTTGTAAGGGTTTCCTTTTCTTATTTATCTAGTTTTCTTAATTACTTAGGCTTTTGTCTATAGGGATTCTTTAATACCTTTTATTTGATTCCTTTTCCTATGTAAGTTTGTTTTATGGCTGACCTGATGTTCCCCTTGGGCTTTTCCTGTTTGAGTGACGCTACTGTCTTTGTGAAGTTCCCTTTCCACACCATCCATATTGCAGCCTTTGCAAAAGCTTAATAAAGCTCCTTATTATTGTGCAAGAGTCTCCTGTTGATTTCAGACTGAGAGGGTTAAATCTCACGACGACAACGATGCCAACGATGCCAACGCACCAAACTTGATTGCAGGAAATACGACTTCAGCAATAGAGTGGTCAATGTCTGGAATACTCTACCCGACTCTGTAGTTTCTTCCCCAAACCCCAAAAACTTTAACCTTAGACTGTCTACTATTGACCTCACCCCTTTCCTAAGAGGCCTGTAGGGGGCGTGCATAAGCGCACCAACGTGCCTACCGTCCCTGTCCTATTGTTTCTCTTATTCTTTTATTTTTCTTATATGTACCCATTTCATGTATTCACAACTATGTATACATTTATACTTATTATCTTGTAAACAATTGGCAAATCAAATAAATAAAATAAATAAAATAAATAAATAAATAAATGTCCTTTAACCCGGGGTCTCCAACCTTGGCAACTTTAAGACTTGTGGACTTCAACTCCCAGAATTCCTCAGCCCGCTTTCCATTATTATGTTCCTTTAGCATGATGCATATATAAATACACGAGTTGCGGCTCAATTCGACGCATTTGGTATGCCGGAACGACGAAAACCGAAAGCAGGCTCCCGCTCCCCCAACCCACCGGGGATCTCCGAGGCGGCCTCCTCCTCTCGTTCGATCGAGGCGAAACCCTCAGAATCCCTGAGAGAATCTCGCGGCGCTTGAAACACTACATTTCCCAAAGTGCTTTGCTGTCACCCAGAGACACCCTGAGAATTCCAGCGCTCCTTCGCCGGCCTAGCGGGCAGGCGGGCGAGCTCCGCGGCCCTTGGAAGGGCTGGGAGCGGCTGAGCGCGCCCCTTCTGAGAAATGAGCGACAGTTTCTGAGCAGGCGGGGCGGCACGGGCCTGGCCTGGCCTGTGAGGGAAAGGAGACGAGCGAGCCAGGCTCGGCGATGAGTTGTGGCTACGGAGGCGGAGGGATGGTTCGCTCGCTCCTGGAGCTGTAAGTGGCCGAGCCTCCCCTCACCGGGCAGATTTCTCGCCCGAAGCCCGAAACCACCTTTCTTTTTCATCCAGCCTCCCCCCGTCTCTCTCCTGGTTGTTCTAGGGTTTATTTCTTCGTTGCTCGGCTAAATAATGGGACCGCCAACGCCCGGCCCCTCAGGAATCTTAATATTTTAGCGGAGCGCTGGCCGTTTTCTCCCCGATGTGCCTTTTCCATGAGAGAAAATGGAGGAGGTGGGAAGAAAGTCGGGGTCGCCAAGGAAGCTAACTATTCTGCTAACTAATTGACCTGAGGTGAAACAATGATTAAAACCAAAACCAAAAATATTCGCGTTCAGAATAAAAGAAAGGCCAAGCCTCTTTCATAAAAAGTGGCAAAATCTGATGCCAAAGCAAAAGTAAACACACTCGTTTCCTCTTCTGGCTGTGGTGCTAGATAGCAAGGGTTTGTATTCCAACAGGTATTTCTGAGAAGCGGGATGAAGAGCAAAGGATGAATTTAAATCTCCAGGATCAGATTACCTGCATGCTAGGATTTGGGGAGGGTGTCAGAATGCGGTAGGATCATTTTTGTATGTGCTTGTGTATTATACCTGTGCCCTCCATCTCAACAGATTTCCTCCCCACCATCACATTTTTGGAAAACTGGGCTACTGAAAGAGTTTGCCAAACTTTATTATTATCTTTGCAAAATCCTTTAAAAAAATGGTCAGAGGAGGAGGGCAAGGGTTTTTCATTTTTAAAAGGAAGATCTGGGAAACCACAGATTAGCTGGTCTAACATCAAAACTTGAAAAAGTCTGGAATAATTAAGAGATTGATACATAAGAGTCTTGAGAATAATCTATCTAATTATCATGGGCTTATCTTGCATAAATAACTTACCTCATATTTTGGTGAAATAAGGTGACCACTAGTCTGGTTCATTGAGAGTTATCACTAAACCAATGAGAAATAAATATGCATATGGCTACCTGTAAGATGTTGAAACTGATACCTTTGATTTAGATCACACATCACAAACCATACTTGGCCTAATCGTGGATTGTTCAATAAATTGCTGTTGATTTGGCTCACATGTGTTTATGGTTTATTGCAAAATATAAACTAATGTCACCTGTCACTGAGAAATCTCTAGTAGATGTGTGAATATCTTAAAAATTCTACAGAACAGATTGTGAAATTTAGCAAGTACGTAATTTATCTCCCTATAATCAAATCAGCATCCATGAGAAGCATGTTTGTGACTAGAACCTGTTTAAAATTATTGTATTTCATTTGTTCACTTTCCTGTTTGTGAGTACTATACATTGTACATGTCTATAGTGAAATACCCTAATACTTGCTTTTTTAAAAAATACTTGTTTTTGTACTTGGCTTTATATTTATAAAAAGAAGCCATGTGTATTGCTGAGTAAGACAATATTATTATATACCTGATACTGCAGCCACTACAAAATATTGTCAACAAATAACTTTTTCTTTTTCCTCCTCAGATGCCTTCATTGTTTAACAAGAAACATATCCAGGTATGCTGCAGATATTAAGTCTTTGCCTCCCAACATAAAAGATAAGCTGATTAAATCATTGAGTATCCAAGGATGGATAACAGATACAAATATAAGCATGGTAAGTTTCCATTTAGATCATAGTCTTTGCTACTTTTTCAGCGTTGTGACTTACAATGGACGTTCATCTGTAAAGTGATATGCGGAAGATGCTAAACATGAGAGATAAATCTTACCCTTGCCATACTTGCCATACTTTCGGGTGAAGAAGTAGATGTTATTGCTTGATATAAATTGAGTTGTTAGCATGATTCTTGCTGGATGAAGGACATATTAGAAAAGATATATTAAAGGACAATAAATTGAGCTTTTGAGAAAAAGCTCAAAAGAAATATTTAGGTGGCTGATATGTGAGGCAAATTGTTCCAAATTATTCTATTTACAGGTTGTTCCATACCCCAGAATGCTTAAACTGCAAGCAGTGCGCTAAGTCTCTTTCACCACTATTTTATACCAAAATAGATTTGAAGGAAATAAATAATCTATTCTTTTATCAAAGTACTAGTGTATTATTCTGTTGTTGTATATTAACCCCAGAGTATATTCAGTTAAACAGTATGTATTTTAGTATTTTAGACCAGTGGTCGCCAACCCATGGGCCACGGCCCACTGGTGGGGTGTGAGAAAATTTGGGTGGGCCGCAGAGAAATCTCACCCCCAGAGCACCCCCCAAAGCAATTAATCCAGGCTGCGCAGAAACACAAGGCTGTGCTGCCCACATGGTCCGCGGAAACCCTCCCCGCCCACTCACTGCTTACCCAGTAAACTTGCCTGCTAAATTGCTATTTTTCCTTTTTCCGACCATCATCTGTTCTGTTGTGACGGGAGATTTAGATTAGCCAGGAAGCAGGAAATGGTTGGATTTCTTGCTTTCTAGCTAGTCTTTAGATCTTCAGCTCAGCACAGCCAAACCTCCCTTAGGACTGAAGGCTTGCTTGCAAGCAAATTCAGTGCAGACTCACAGCAAGCAAATTTGAGAGACTGAGTTAGCCGATGGCAGATAGATAGATCACTGAATGATTCTGTGAGCAACTCAGTCTGACTGCTTTGCCTGATTTTGGGTAAAAGTTGTTCTTTTTATATAAAAAATTCAATATTTATATAAATATTTGTAATATTTACATACAAGCCATGCCCAGCCAGTCACATGACCAAGCCACACCCACAAATTAGGCCATGCCCGCAGAACCGGTTAGTGGTCCCTGGAATCTAAAATTCTGAGTTTTGTGGTCTTTGAGGTACAAAAGGTTCGCGACCCCTGTTCTAGACTATATACAAATTATGTATGTAACCAGTGACAAATGAATCTTAAAAACTACATGTATGCTGAGTTTTGTTGCCTTAGCATGAAGACCCTTTCAGATACTTCGTTGAAGATTGTGTCTTCTACTGCAATGCTTGAGCAGTAAACTTTGTTCTGCCAACAAACCAAAGTATAAAGACTGATACTTCTACTACCCTGGGGATGATGAGAGTTGCAGTTCAGAAGCCTTTGAAATATGTGCTTGTTTATTTTTAGTTTAGCTTTCTGTGTGAATCTAGCTACTATAGATGATTTGTAAATAATTTATAGCGTAGCATATTATATGAATCTAATAAATTGGGGTTTATCTCTTGTTAAAACATGGCTTATAACTGTATAAAACTGGTTACCATGTTTTTTAAATAAGCTGAATGAATTTTCACTTTCAGTGAGTGCTAAAAGGTTGATGAATAGTTATGATTAAAAATTTGGGTTTCAGTATCCTCTATAGCATGTTTTCTATTTCATCATATTTAATAATTAAGGCAAATGCCTGGGATGGATTTCATATAGTGCACTAGGATTAAGTCCTGATTTGCTAAACCCCAAATGGCTGCATTATATTAAAACCAAAGCCACAAAAATCATGTTGCAACATAGCATTATATGTGACCCCTGAGAATGAGCTGTCTCAGGCCAGACTCTGAAGAATAGTTGCAAGGGGCTTTATCTAGGATTTATTAAATATAAGTAATGACAGATAGGGCATTTCTGCAAGTAAATACATAGAGCAACGAAGTCCTAATTCCTAGAAAGCTTGCCTGCAATGAGTTCCAAGAAGGCAGAAATATAGTTAAGTCATGGTCCAAAAGTCCAAATACGGGTCATCAGCCAGTCTAGGTTCTGAGGAATAGAATATCCATAGATAACAGGCTTAAGACACCCATTTTGTTTTGCTTTATTTACATTTTTAAAAAGTAAGATCTGATAGAAATACTTTACATTTTTAGATTCTTCACCCTGCAGTGGAGGCACTAGATCTTCGAGACTGTGATATTTCAGACTATGCCTTGCAACAGCTTTGTAACTGCAGGCATCTGAAAAAGATAAGTGTAAATGTTTGGAAAAACAACAGACTGACCATAACTTCTGAAGGTATACTTTCTGCACAATGGTTTTAAAAGAGCACTGAGACATACAAGTGATGGCTGTTTGGGTTGTTTGTTATGTTCTATTTTAATTTAATTGTTTTAAGAAAGTAATCTAAGGAGCAAAGATAGGAACAGAACCTTTTTTAATGGAAGTTAGGAGATCCTATTTATGAGTGCTAGGCACAGTGTATCCATACTGACCTATTGTCAGAGTGTGTATAATGTGACAAGTGTGAGACAACCCAGGAGCAAATACAGCATGCAGAGGTTTGTAATAATTAAATAGTCGTTTATGTTTACAAATAATATACATACACATACTAGGCAAAGGTCAAACAATCAATCAGTAATCAGCTACAGCAGGGAAGCAGAGAGAGAGAGAGAGAGAGAGAGAGAGAGAGAGAGAGAGAGAGAGATGCCCAACAGGGGGGCCTCTCTTATAATACAGACTTTTAAAGTAGTAGCAGTCAAATAACCCTGCTGACTCATTACTACCATTGCATGATCATTACAGTATTACAACATTACCTCAGCTGGTCAGCTATTAAATCATTATCCTGACACTTATATTTTAATACCACTTAAGTACTTGGAAAGCATAGGCCACATTTTTCCAATGAAATGTTTCCATTTTTCTTTGTTCTAAAAGGACAGTCTACTGATAATATACAAATAAATATATCAAACCCTATTATTATTTAAATCAGACTATCTATTTAGGAAATCTAAAAATAAAACTATAATAAACTAAGTAAGACTTATCAGTGGGAATGGCAGCAAATCAATTTAATAAATAGATAGTACAATTTGTACTTGTAATCTTGTAATCACCTTAATACTCAGACACAACAATCAACAATGATCTGTTGGCAAAGACAGAGATTTCAAGTTGTTAATACTTAATAGTCTAAAGATTAACATGATAAGTATGCATTCTCAACCACACTATCACCCAAATCCTAAAAGGAACATTGTGATGTTGCTCTGGCCTTTTGTGCTTACATTGTGATATCACACAAGAATGTAAGGGGCTAATTTTTCTTTTAGAAGTATGTTTGTCCTTCTGTTACAAGAGCAAGGTGTGTTAGGGGAAAAACCTGATTATGAACATAGCTGCACTCAATAACAATTGAACAGATAGCACAACGCAAAAAGTCTCACTTTAGAATTTAGAGGTTTATTAGAATTTAGAGCATAATAAACATAAAGCACTTACATTAATCACTGCAATGAAAGTCAATCAGACAAGCAGGCAAGGGAACAGCTTGAGACTGATTGAACACCTCCCATTCTTCACTCTTTTCTTTTTTTTTCCATAAATTTTTTATTTTTTATCTTTTATACATCTCTTCAAGTGAGCGATATGATTCCAGGTTACAACATACATATATAATCATAGTTACATTTCCAGCTTTCTTATCTAGTTTCATATCCAATCATTATCTATTCCATTGATCTTTAAATAAATTTTTGCTTCGTATTTTCAATTAATTAATCCAATAACAAAAATATTTCATCCTCAAATATATTTTCCACTCTTTATCCCCTATTATTTCCATTTCCAGCTTACCACCTATTTTATTTTATGTATTATCTTCTTTAACTTTCTCAAAGCCGAAGTATAATAAACAAAAAAAAAAGAATAAAATAAAAGTAATATATTCAGGATCCACATGGTATTTTTCCCCCAATCTACAATAAATCTTTTATTTATTCCAAAGATATTCATAAAACCATTTCATATTTCCTCTTTATTTCCATTTAACCAAATTTTACCAATGGAATTTTATTAAGTTTTCATTCCTCACCTTTTGAATCATAATAATCTCATTGCAAATACTTTACAGTATAATCATTCCTAGTTTGCCATATTCTCTGTATTTCTAATATCCTTTGTATAATCAATTATATTTTCTATTTCATGTCTAATATAATATGTATACAATAAAAAAGAAGAAAAATTAAATTTCCTTTTTGTTTCTATTTAGCCAAATTTTATCTATGAAATTATATTTAATTTTCATTCCTCACTTTTTAATCATAATATAACAATCTCATTGCAAATACTTTATAGCATAATCATTCCTAGTTTACCATATTCCTTGTTTTTCTAATATCATTTGTATAATCATTTACATTTTCCATTTCCCATTTTATATAATATATGTAAAAAAGGATTTAATAATAATAAAACCATCTTAATTTCTCTTGCTCTATCATCATTTTTCCTCGTATGTAATAATCTTACAGCGAGGTCTTATTCTCCTTTAATTCCAATTAGATTTATTTCTTTATTTTTAAAAAATGATTCCAAATAAACTTTAAACTTCAAAACTCCCCAATCTATATTTCGGGTGGGGGGGGAGCCAATGTACATTTCCATGTGGAATCCCCCTTTCATTTTAACTTTAACTCTCATCTCTAAATCTCTCGGCCCTATGGTTTCTTCTAATTTTTGCCAGTTTTCTCTTTTCTTAAGTTTTTCCGGTCCTTTCTCTTAGCTCCTCTTTTTTCCCCTAATATTTTTATTTTCATCTCCCATTCACTTGTTTTTCCCCCTCCCTTTCCTGATATATCTTTTACCATTTCTTCTTGTACAGCTTCTTTTATTTAGTCTTGGAAGTATTTTCCCTTTTGTTTATTACATCTATCATCAGTGTCTTAATTTTAATTCCTCTTGTGTTTTTTGCAATGTCCATTGTTCTTTTTGCTCTTTTGGGCTGATTTCCTCTTTCTTTAACTCCTCCTCCTTGAACTTTCTTTGTTCTTCTGTGAACTGCATCGCCATTTCTAATTTTTCTGCTGGTATATCCCATAGTTCCATACTTTTTTTTATCATTCCCCTCACATTTTGCAGTTCCAATCTGAGTTCTTTGCACAATTCTTTCATTTTACTTAATCAATTGAGTTATTCTCAACATACTCTATTTTAATCTTTACCGGAAATATCCATTTATCTTAATTTCTCTTGTTGATCCTTCTGTTTCCTTTTCACAGTCCCAATCCGCCAAACAGCCCCTAGATATTATCTTCACTTGTCCCTTTGCTGCAATCCTTTCTGTGTATGTGTGTGTGTGTGTGTGCGCGCGCGCGCGCATGCTTCCGGGGTTATTGTTATATTACAGTCTTTTATTTCATTTCATTTCCCATTCACACACTTGCAAGACCAGTAGTTTCCCATAGAATCATAAGAAAAAAGTATCTTTAACCATTAGGTGGTGCTCTTACATCACTTTCCACTTTTTAAAGCTTTTTTTTTCCTTTTCCTTTTCATTTGTATTAATTCTGTTAATTTTCTATCATTAGCTATTATATCTTTTAAATATAGTCAATTCCAACAAGTCCAACATTCTAGCCAATGCCTAATTAATGCCAATTTCTGTATCTTATTCCAAATTTGGTCTCTGATTCCTTTATAGTCCTTTTATACTCCAGTTTTATTTACCTTATAATTTCCTCTTACTTTCCATTCGCCACTGCCACAATCTTAAATGAGGATTCTTTCTATTTCTCAGGGTTGTCTTGAAAAAAATCCAAGATATTTTGCCTGGTCACACGCCGCTCACCACTTTACTGCTCCAGCACACACTTAAGTTCCGGATAGCTTCCCGTCAGCCATTAAAAACTGCCTCTACCTCCTGTCTTTGAGGAGAGTATACTTAGCCAGGGAGGGGAGATGCGGTTCCCCTCGACGCAGCTGGCGGTCTCCCCCTCTTTCCCTACCCTCCAAGATGGATCTGGTCCCATTTGGGACCCTCCCCCGACAGGTTAAGCACAGATTAAAGCCGTGCATGATCGTGGTCTTTGGTCCGTCTTTGACAGAAGTGCCACTGGAAGATCCACTCTTATATACATTAAATCCACAAAGACACATGACTTTCAGGATTCTGCCACCTTGTCATAGCAACAGGGCAGTTGCTGATTTTTTTCAGCCTAAATGTCCCAACCTAACTATTTTTATATACCGTATTTGCCGGCGTATAAGACGACTTTTTTGCCCTGAAAAACATGCCTCCAAGTGGGGGGGTCGTCTTATACGCCGGGAGGACTCCGACTCCCACTTCGAGCTTGAGTTGCAGCCGGGAGGGAGGCTGGGGGGGGAGCGGTGTGTGTGTGTGTGTGTGTGTGTGTGTGTGTGTGTGTGTGTGTGGCGGGTGTCACTCGCCACGCGCTGCGCAACCTTTCCCCCTCTTCCTTCCTTAGCGGTGTGGGGAGGAGAGGATTCGAAGATCCTCACGTGCGGCGTACTTTTCTTTTTCTTTTTTTTCTTTTTGCACGCAGGTTTTGCATGCGGGCGGCTGTAGGTTAAGGATGGGGGAGCCCCCGGGTGGGTTATCAGGTTTTATGGTGCTTCCAACATGTGCGAACGGTGGGAGAGCGGAGAAGAGAGCGAGCGAGCGCCCTGCTGTGTGAAATCCTGCCGTCAAAGCAACACTGGGGGAGGCAGGGTATAAATTTACCAGGTTAATGTAGCAATGGTGATTAATGCCCAGAACATTGTTTGCGGGTATTGGGGTGTGTGTGTGTGTGTGGTGGTGGTGAGGAGAGGTTGTCCTTTGAATGCGGAAAAGTAGGTGTGACCTTGTGTAGGAAAATAAAGAGATCCTTTTTAGCGTGTTTGGCTTCTTTGCCTCCCCTCGTTCGTTTTGACGTGGAGATAATGGCTTTCGGGCGGGAGGGGAAGAAAACGGTAGCTGGATCATTTCAAATTTCACTTACTCTCCTGCCTCACTTCAATATGTCTGAGCGACTCCAGATACTGGAAGACTTTTTGAATGAAAGTGTTACCTCCATTTTTTTTTTTAAAGAGGGCCACTTGGGGGAAAAAAAAGATTCTAAGGAATTCCTTGTTTCTTGATTAAAGAGAAGGCATTGAATATACTGTTCCTTGGCAGCCTTTTCAGTGTCCGGGTTTTTGGTGTGTGTGTGTGTGTGTGTGTGTGTGTGTGTGTGTGAGAGAGAGAGAGAGAGAGAGAGAGAGATCAGCTGTATTGAGAAGAGAACGTTTCCTGTGTTCTCATTTTATTTACAACATATTTTGCGCTTAATGGTAAGCAATGAAAAATATTTTTAAAACTCATTTCTAAACTCCATAGCTATTTGCATATTCTTGGTTCAAAATTGGATTAGCTCATTTCAAAATTGTCCAAAGCAGAAAAGTGCGTCAAAAAAAAAAAAGTGCAAAAGTGGAAGGTGTGTGGAAGAGGGGGTAGTCTTATACGGCGAGTATATAACAAACTCTATATTTTGAGTGGAAATGTTGGGGGGTCGTCTTATACGCCCAGTCGTCTTATACGCCGGCAAATACGGTATGTAACCACTAAGTTCCTCTTTTCCCATGATCTTAGCCCACCACATCTTGCCTGCTAACAGCTCTCCTGCTTGCACATTTTCAACATACACAGCACAATTTTCACATACTCAGGGGTGCAAGTCCATCACAGAGGCACCACTGACTTTTCAAAAGTTAATCAATGTTATTCTGTGTGCTGGGTCCACGACCCCCAATACCTTCACAAATACAACCATTCCTTGATTATATGATACAATATGTTAAAGCAGGTTTTAATATTCCTTAAGTAATGCAGGTAATTTCATATTAATGCTGGACCTAGTCCAAGTTCCCTGAGATAACAGCAACCCAGGGAACTGGATCAGGGACAGCATCAGTAGTACTTAGGGATGGGCCCCCTTTTTGCAAGCTTCCCACAGGTGAGATGTTAAGATATTAAATGAAAGACTCAAACATTTAAGCCATCAAATCCCCCTTTCCCCATCCTGCTCAGTGTAGCAATCCAAATTAAATGCTAGTAATCCCAGACAAATGTTGTCTAACTTCTGCTTAGGCAGATCCAGTGAAGGAGAACCTAGTACTTTTGGGACCCTGGAGTTCCGGGGAGCATGGTTTGAATAACACAGCTCTACAACAGGTTGGGAGTATTCTAGGATCTCTTTCAAAGGTCTTTTTCAGTTATCTGCTTTATAGTTGAGATGTAGCACCTGAGAAATGAATGGGAAATTTGAAAAACAGATAAATATACACACATATGAATTGTTGTGGATCCATCATCCTATGATGATAGATTTTTAAAAAAGTATTGGAAGAATGGTATGCTGATGATGAACAGATGATCCAATCTTGGTTGAGAAAATTATTCTCTTAAGCCATTTCCCAATTGGGTTGTTATAAAGTTCAAAACAAGAAATAATTTTCTTTTTAAAAAAATCAACAAAACAAAATCCTTTATGTATATTGTGCAAACTAAAACTCAAATCAAACTTTTATATTTAAATGTATGGTAATAGAATTCTATCTACAGGAGAAAAACCTGCCTTTCATCTCCAACAGGAGTTGCAGCACTGGCCTTATCATGCCCCTATCTGCGGGAAGCCTCTTTTAAGAGATGCAGCAATCTAACAGACAGTGGAATCCTTGCTCTTGCCCTCAACTGCCCCCTTTTACAAATAATTAACATAGGAGGATGCTCCAACATCACAGACACATCCTTACAAGCCCTTGGACAGAACTGTAGATCCCTGCACAGTGTTGATTTCTCATCAACCCAAGTAAGAATGAAAAGCATTATTACAACACCATCATATATACAGTATATACATACGTTTTTCTTAACATATATAAGTATTTAGTAAGCACTGTACTGTCTGGGTTATTTTACATATACATATTTCTAGTAACAATAATATTCTTTACTTGTATATGGTTTATTTCCAAATACTTTGGTTTTTTTATTAAAGTGGGCAGTTTTTCATACAATATGTCAATGAGGTTCCCTGTCTAATATGACTGCTATTTAAAGCAGCATGTTATTAAAAATCTCTCGGTGTTCAAAGTAGATGTGTCCTTTGGAAGTTAAAGTAGATCTGCTCATCAGACCTGCAAGCCTTTATAGTTAGATTGGGCTAGGATATGGGACACACTTGGCTTTGGTGTTGCATGCAAGTATCTGCACTCCAAGACGGTAAGCAGAATGCAAGATAAAACTCACATTTGATTTTTTAATTCACACCTTGTTAATTAAAATTAATTATTCAATTACATGCAGCTAATATAATTGGTCCCAATATATTTAATAAGTGCTGTTTGGCAAAACTGGGTGGAGACCATCTGGCCAGTCCCATCTGGGTTGCCAAAAAGTGTCCCAGCTCAATACTGTGTCCTTTACCCAAATTGAATGTACTGAGGTGGGGATTGTAAAATAAGCTTTATTCTGCAGAAGAAAGCACACAGGAAGATCTCAAAGATTAAGAAACACCCCCCCCCCCCAATAACCACTGGTGGTTTTTTTGCAGCATTTTATCACAAGCTGCACCATGCTTAATGTCACAGGATCACATTGTTTTCCTGTTTTTTACAGTAATGTCTTTACCTTATTAGTATAAATGAAGCAAACATCTTTCCTGCTTGCAGATAGATTAACCACAAAATTACCATAACTCTCATTTCAGCAGTACCATAGCATAGCTTCTACCAATGTACTTCCTGTTTAACAACATACTTCTTTTTTCAGTGATACGTTTTTACTTATATGTACAAATGTTTCTTGTTTATCCCTTTTGCCTTGTCCCATAATGCACTGGGGGTTACAGTTTAGCAAGCTAAAACTGAAACTAAATGCTTATTGATATTTGAATCTTCTCTACCACATCTACCTCTTTCAATCTCTTTTCATATGGCTTAGTTTCCAATCCTTAGTTTCATCTTTATTGTCTGTTGCTGAACTTTTGGTGCTCAAAAGTGAACAAAGTGCCTCATTGGTGATCTGACCAAAGCAGAGTAATGTGGACTAATAATTTCACATGATTTGAAAAATAAATCCTGTTGATTCAGCCTAAAATTGCACATATCTGCTTTACAGTCACATCATCCTGCTCTTCATTTTCTGTTTGATATCCACCACAATTCCAATATTTGTTTCTACAAGTATTATTAAGGAAGGTATCCCTCATCTCGTTACATTTCACGTTTTTTTCCAAGCTTTTACTTACTGGTTTAGATTATAAAGAATCATTATTCTGGCCTTGTTATTAACTGTACTTTCGTTTTTAATGCAAGTTACTTTGAAAACAGATATAAATAAAAACAATAGATTGTATATAGATTTCCATTATTGGAAGAGAAGAAATAATATTTTGGCTTCCCTTGATAAAAGATCCTTTTTTCCATTTAGGTCACTGATGATGGTGTAATAGCACTTGTTAGTGGAATGTGTTCAAACAATTTAAAGGTAACATTTGGATATGCTTAATTAAAGTTGATATCAGTAAGTTACACATGTGGGGGTGAGATTGGAGAAAATTGCCACACCACCACAAAGATATTTTTAACAACATTCAATATTCAAAGGTACTTTTTAGATTGACAGCTGTTGGATGAATTCCAGAGAAGTGTGCCAAAATTAATGTAGCTCATATCACCTTTCATACATAATGCTTATATATTACATAAAATAAAATCTTGTTTATGTAAAATCTTAAAATGAATATTATCAGCTACTAAACATAGTATATTATTTTTCACCAGTACTATTTGGCAGTAAATATATCTTAAAGTTGTTTTCCGGTTTTTGTCTGTGATTGTATATTATTCACGTATGATTTCCTATGTGCCAAGAAATGCATAAGCAAGAATAGATTGATAAAGGCTGAGCCAAAGAATTTGGCTGATATAAGCTTTAAAACACATGAAAACTGTAACATACTTATCCAGCTCCTTCAGTTTCTGTCTCTTGTTCTTCATTCTGTTATCTCATTTTCTCCACCTTTCCTGAATTGGATATTGTGACTTGTGGGATAAGGGAGAAAGAGAATAGCCCTCATTTGGGACAGTGGAGAACAGATTCATACAGTTGCATGAGCTGCAGTCTACGAGATCTCTTTTGAAATACAAATGCAAATGATTATTCAAAAAATTTCAAGTTGTGCAGAAATGGACAAATTAACCTTGGCATTAAAAGATAAAGACACTTCAATATATTATTACAGCTGGAACTACTGGTACAAATGGATAGACCAAAGATAGATTTCACATTAAAAGGCAAAAGAAGATATGATAGAATCGTAGTAGTGATATACAGATATATGTAAGGATTAATTGTGTATATGGCATAAAATAAGGATAAAAAGGAGGTCTCACAAACTGTTGAAGATGAAAATGTTTTTAATTGTTTTCTATCTTTTTCTTTCTATTCTTTTTTTTCTTATTTTCTTTTTCTCTCTTTCATTTATGTATGTGTTGCTGGTCTATTTTAATTGTAAAATCAATAAAGTGTATTAAAAAAATACAAATGCACTACTGCAATAGATAGAAACAAATCCCTACTAGATCAATCAAAGCTGTTTATAAAATCAGTTTTTCCATGCTTCCAAAATTCAGCCAGCCCAAAAGTATATTTTATTACTACTTTCTGAATCTAAAATTAAGGTAGAGGTGAGATTTTTCTCTAACTCATACGCTGCTTTCTTCATGTCGTGATATACTTAATATATTACTGAAATACAGAAGAGGAGGAGACCTTTATCACCTTTGTTTTTATTTTTGTTTTGGAAGTAATAAACAGAGATGGTATTAAGAAGAAACTCTGGTAAATTTCAATGTACTCTTGCACATGAGATTCAAATTACTCTAGAGCAATTTATCTCTTGAGAGATTAGGAACACCCATGGCTTTATGAAATTATTTAAGACATTAGTCTCTTCTATAATTTCTCTTCTAACACCCTTTTTATTGTTCCAAAGTATTTCTCAAAACAGATTTTATTTAGTTAATTAGTGGTAACTACTAATAGCATTATTCTTTATCCTTAATAGGAGATCCATATGGAACATTGTGTTAATTTGACAGATGTAGCTGTGGAAGCTGTCCTCACATACTGCCCTATGATATATATTCTATTGTTTCATGGATGCCCACTCGTAACAGGTGACTTGAAATCTTGACTAGAGTAGATTTTCCTAGATGTTCACTGAAAACCACATCAAGTGGCATCAAAATGACATTACATGCATTATGATATCATGAGCTGCAGAATATCGTCATGTGCATGACATAACTTGGCTTTGAAAGAAAACATTTCTAACTTCTTTAAACGATATATTTAAAAATGGAAGTCAGTAAAGCCGGGTGAAGCATTAAATGCCCAATATCCTTTGTATTTTAGAACTATTACATTATCTAAAAGCCAGAGTGAGGTTAAAACAAGACTCCTCCTATGATTGTTAAACTTTGTTTCCAGGAATAGGAAACCCCTACTTAATGTCTTTAAATATTTAAAGATATTAACATACTCAGACTTAAAGATATTAACAAATCAGATTTGCTGAGCACTCAAAACAATGACAACCTACACTAGAAGGAATAAGGGAAAGTTGAAAAAGGCATCACACAAGCCAAGACTTACTGTGTCTTTTGCATACACTGTCTAATTATAATTTGGTGGTATGCTTAAATACCACCATGAAGGAGATTTTCTAGAGATATTGGTGCTAATTCATTGGCAGGAGATATAATTATTAGATTTATTTATTTTACTTTGATTTATAACCTGTCTTTTGTACAGTAGCTCAAAGTAGTGTATATACTGCTCCTTCCTCCTAATTTTCCCAACAACCCTGTGAGGGAGGTTGGGGTGAGAGAGCAACTGATCCAAGTCCCACACTGAGCTGCCATCGCTAAGGGTTCACTAGAATCTGAGATACTCCATTAAGTACCATATCACACGGGTTCTTTTATTATTTTATTATCTGATATTTACGGTATCTTTAGTTATCTTACTACTGGCTGATATTGCAGTTTTAACATTAAAATTCATATAATCTCAATAAGAAACAAGATTGTTCTCCTTTTCCAATAGTTTTTTCTTTCATTTCCATGGATGAGGATGTAATATAATTATTAGGGACTATAATCATATAATGAAAGGACCTATTATAGAAATTAATTAAGAATGTAATAATAGGAATAGATTCTTGAAACAAAAATGTGTCTTAAAAAACTGCTTTGTGAGGTTCTCCATGTCAGGAATGATCTAGGTTAGTGTTTTTCAACATGGCTGGCTGGGGAATTCTGAGAGTTGAAGTCCATCCATCTTCAAGTGGTGAAGGTTGAAAAACATTGATCTAAGTTGCAATTTCTGAGAGCTTGAACAACACAGCTAGCAATTACATCTTTAGTTCAGATATGAAAATCATTTTAAAGAGTTGATGGTCTGAGTTCAGGGAAAGATGAAAGATGGCACAGAATTTAGTCCACTCTTGCTTCAACGTTTGTGCATTCTCTATTATGCTTTCACCATTGAAGCACTTTAAGCCTTTCTTTTTTCACACCTTCTAGAACACGGGTATCAAACTCGCCGCATCATGTTGCCGTCATGTTATGTTTCGCAACATTTTCCCCATTTGCTGAGCTAGGATGGGCGTGGTCTGCATGTGACACATCTGGCCCGCAGGCTGCCAGTTTGGGACCCCTGTTCTAGAACTATTCATTGAAACTTAAAGCATGTTTTCATTTTCTGAATTCCTGCTCTGGGGAACTCCTGCCATTAAGAGAGCCATAACATGCTTATAAAATATGCGGAGGATGAACACTTTGTAAAAGCCAGCAAAATATCTAGTAAATGCAATAAATCAACATATTGAATTGGATTTTGGTTATTTATACACTGATCTTGTAGAAAAATAGCTTGAAGCCCATTCCTTCCCACTACTATTTGTTTAGTTTTCAGCGTTCCAGGGAACCTCCATTCCTATCAGTAACTCCGAGACAAGCATAATCTCAAAAATACCTTTACTAGAATAGCACCTGGCACATCTGTGGAATTTCAAAACTAAAAGTTTTCTGGACTTCCCACAATGTCCCAATCTACAAACCATCCCCTTTTCTCTCATCATCACATCACATGAACCAATCCCAAAGTAGGTTCCTCTTTATTTCTGCATCACATTCTATGACCTTGAACTAACGAAAGAATTCTATTTTGTCTACTTAGAGCTACTCAATAAGAATCACCCCCCCTCCCACTTTCTCAAGCTATGTGGCAGTGATGAATAAGGATTCCAAAGCTGACATTAGTCTTGTTCCCTGTCATAAACATTTCCTTAACCATAAAAATAAAAACTAAATATATTTTATTTGCAGATCGTTCCCGAGAAGCACTGGAGCAGCTCGTTGGACCCAAAAAATTCAAGCAAGTTTCATGGACTGTTTATTGATTTTTGTTTGAAATCGTAAGGCATTACTTCATTCCCCTCCCCCCCTGGGCAGACCATTTCTGAGTCTCTTCTGATTGTACATTTGCTGTTGATACTGTAGTCTCAAGTTGGAGAAGAACAAACATGCTATTCTGCATTTTTGTGTTCATGGAAGTTCGTGAAAGAGGGCTTTAGGGCTCTACTTCTTAAAAAAGACACCTTGTACCAATTTACCAACAGTAAATAAGGAAATGCAAAAAGCAGAGCGAACACCAATAAGCTAATGAAGCAAATTTCATAGAAGCATCTTCTTGTGCTGCCTACTCTGTTGTCATTTAGGTGGAGACCAGTTCTATTTCTAGGTGTCCATTGTAACAGGAGCCATGATTTGTTTGTATCTGAATAAAACCTTCTTCAAATTGTACAGTGCATGCATTTCATTTAATTCTATTAATAACCAGTCATAAAATATGTTTGTAGAACTCAATATTGTCATTTTCAAGACAAAAAGCTAATGTGGGGCTTTGCTGATATCGCAGAATGGGATGCCATATTCCACTCTTGTTAAGGAATTAGTTATTTATTTGATCTGTAACCTATTAAAGGCAAGTTATAATAACACTCACTGAAGTTTTATTTTTTGAAAGCTTTTGCCAAAATAAACATGTTAGTGTCTAAGCTGATGCAAGACTCTTGATTACTTTTCTTACACAAAACTAACATGAATACTTTTTGGAAAATATCCCACTAAGATATTATCATTGTCTTTAGTAATAAGAAAAATACTGACCAATTTGGATTTTGACATTCATTAGATAAATGTAGTAATCTTCTATGTTTTCCCTTTACTATTAATCATTATTGAATAAGGATTTTGACATTCTTCCTAATCAAATAATATATAGCACAGCTTTAAGAATTCTCACCCAGCACTTTTTAGGGCAGTACGTGGAGTACAGTGAGATGAAACAGAAAATGCAAAGCTTGATCAAACCTATGTGAACAGTTATGTTGAAACAGAAAGCAGCCTTTATGAACATATTCAGTAATTGCTTCTGTACAATAATAATTTGCTTAATAAAAGTCAAGCCAGAATGATCCACTCGTTTGCAAACATGAGTAATAGCGAAGTCATGCCAGAATGGATAAGATGCTATTCCATTTTAGACCAGGATGTTACATCTAATGTGTGCTACAGTGGCTGACCAGACATGATAGATAGGAACCAATTGAAGATCAAACATTTATTGTCATACCAGTTATTGTGACAAAAGGACAACTAGGCTTTAAAGCTGGTATAGACCTGTGCCTAATTGAAGGCCTCAAATTAACAATATATTAAAGCGTAGGCTGAGCTGATTTTGCAAGCGTAGCAAAATATTTGCAATCTGTAGCTTCTGCAAAAACACATAATTGCAAGACAATTTTAGAGTTATTTTGGATCACAAATGTCTGGGACACAGAAAAAAAGGAACTGAAAGTAGCAGATGATAAGCAAGTTGGCATATATCTACAAGTGGGTGTTAATTGATGATCAGTATGAGGGGATGGGGTACATCCAGTAAGATTACATACTACTGGGTGGGCTTCAGAAAAAGGGTATAAAAGGAGGAGTAAATCTCATATCAGGACCACTGATGGTAGCTATTCCTTGCTGGACTTAGCTACTATCTCTGGACCTCATTGCAATGGGTTGTTAGTAAGTACTACCTTACTGAAATGCCGTTATGTTATGATGGCTATTCATGTTCCAAATTGCTCATGAAATAAACCTCTGATCTCAATGTAAGATTTATTGCTTGTGGTTTGTATCTCTTTTACTGAATTATTTTTATAACACAGTAGATGCGTGTTATAGAATAGTATGAAAAGAAGGCCATGTTCCAGAGATCGAAATACAGCTAACTATCCCAAAGTTTTCCCCATCCTAGATGTGTCATCCACTGACTACCCTGTACCAACAACAGGGCATCAGGTATAGTGCCTGAATTTAGAAGTTTTATTAGATATAAAACTGCTCTACAAATAAAAATTATTTTAATTCGCATAGGCAGTAAGTATTGTGTGTCTTTTTAAAACAATGCATTCTCAAACCACAGGCAAAGTTTTTCATACTGTCGTCTTGTTCTAATATGGCTGCAAATAAAGTATTTTAAACATATTGGAATGTACACAGTGACAGAGGCTAAAATCTCAGTGTATGAGAACTGGAATTCAAGAGATTCAAAGTAACGCCAATTGATTTAATATTTCCAAGACCTCTGAAAAATTAAGGCTGATAATTCCAGATAACAGTTTTGCTTGAACCGTTGTATTCTTCCGGTGATGATTTAGGGAGAGCATATTCACTAACTTTGTGCAACATTCTCTGAATACGGTTGGTCACAAAATAGGGTCTGCCAGGATCCCCGATCAGCAGTTCAGTCTTATAATCCTGGATGCACTTCTTCAACCATTCAGAGAGACTGTCTGCAAGCTCTTCACTGTAAAACATGTCCCCTAAGACAATAAGGTCCCATTTGCCTATATCTGTACCAATCAGGTTCTCCGTTACGACTGGGATGGGATCTATGTTGTTCAGTTCACAGTTAAGCACCATGGCAGCACCTGCAACTGAGGCACCAAGATGATAAAAGATCAATGTCAACCTTATTTCTCTCAAAATCCCAAATTAACAATTAATTTCATACAATTAGAATATTGGGAAATGTTTTTTTTTTCTGTTTCAATTGCTGTAGCAAGGGTGCAGGAGAGACCTGACCAGTAGTGGTATGCTATCGGTTCGGATCGGTTCAGCTGAACCAGTAGTAAAAAGCCTCCGATCAGCTGAGAGGAGGAAAAAAGGATCAGCTGGGGGTGGGAGGGTCACTCCAAGCTTTTTGTTTCTTCATCCTCTCAGCTGATTGGCTTGTTAGGGGCGTGTGCGCAATCACCCACTGAACCGGTAGCGACTAAGGTGGGATCCTACTACGGGACCTGACAAATGTGACTTGAAATGTTGACGTAACCGTGTAAAATGTAAATTTTAGGTTACATTTCCTATAAAAAAATCTGATGCAAGGTAATGTTCTTGCTTCCTAGTAAAAAATATGCTTGCTGCTTGCCTTCCCACTTCATTCATATTAAGTCAGATGCATTCTCCTACATACAACACTTTGCCATCTCTGATTATTAGTTAAGTTTTTAAATGCACGACTTCAAAATAAGACCAATAGGTTTCCTATAGAGGACACCATAGTATCATTGCCTCATGTACCTCCAGATGGGAGAATAAGGTGTTTGAAAGCCATTCTTTATATCAGTGTTTTTTAACCTTGGTAAATTAAAAATGTGTGGACTTCAATTCCCAGAATTCCCCAGTCAGCTGGAAGTTGAAGTCCACGCCTCTTAAAAAAGCTGCCACGGTTGTGAAACGCTGCTATGTATATAGCACATGTTCCAGAACCTGCTAGGTATATAGACACTACAGCATTTCTAGTACTCTTTCCATGGGAGAGTCAAAAAAATACATGTTTGCTGAAGGAGATGAGCTGCTCTCTTATTTTAAAGGCATTTATGACAATCATATGGCCTATTAACCTTTAGCTTGGTTTGAGATATGAATTCCGTTATAACTCAGCATTGTCTCTTCTTTCTTTTTACCCACTTCCCATTGTGATTATAATTCTATTATGTGTGAGCTTGCTGAACAAACCATAGTTTAAAAATCCTGAGTTGTGTAAACCAGGCATGATATTCCCCTC